TAAAATATATATGTATTTACCCTCACAGGAAAACTAAACTTATTGGCCACACATAATAAATGTTTCCTTCAAAGAACTCTGAACATGTACTGCCTGAATAGAAAATAAGTAATTATTTTAGGGGGAAAAAATGGGGGAGGAAAAAAAATTACCTTCTTTTAAGCCTAAAATCCATATGGTATCCAAGGCGTCAATTAAGGTAAGCCCAAGTCCAAACCACTCGTTGTAGGACTTGGACAAAGGCTTCAGCTCATCATGGCCCCAGGCAAAATCCTTGTATCCTTTCCATGCATGGCGGAACGCTTCTATCACAGCCATCTGACGTTCGTTTATGGGCACTGCAAAAGGAAAACAGCACCTTGCTCAAGACTTCTGCAGAGGAGTTATGCAGCTATACCAAACACCATTTTGCTGCATTCCACCCAAAAGAAACTTTCTTCCAAAATAAATTATCAGTCTAATTGAAAAACCATCCTCAGATTATTCTTCTCAGTACAGCCTCTCCTCTGCAGAATAACCAGTCAGTGTTTCTGGTCAGCAATTCAGCCAGGTGGAAACAGAGATCTCTCTCTGGCAAAAAAAGTCACTTCTGCAAATAAAGCCTTAAAATAATCACATGCACGGTTGTTAGATGAGTATCACTAAAGCTCATGTCAGGAAATATCAGAATTAAGATTGCTTAGATCAATGGTAATTCAACTGCTGAATACATATGCTTAACAATACAATCCTGGGCTAATTTACCACATACCATTTTTTCTTCATCTTCCCTGTCTTATTCATTGCTTTCTGCTAAATTTAAAATCAGTTGTACAAAATGATTTCTCTTGAACTTTTCATTTCCTACAAAAAAGGCAGAAAACTTACATTTTCCATCTTGGGCAAAACCATGTCTTTTTCCATGGTTCTGCTGAAATCTTTGCCATAAAGTTGAGCTTATGTTACACACCCAACATGAAAAATTTCAAGCCCATTAGCTGAAATTTTGCAAAACTATAAACAAACAAAGATTTCTAGAGTGGGAAACACCAAGCAGCATAACTAACCCCATATATATTAAGCTAACAAAAGCCAAATACATCACATTGTAACAGGCCATGTTTATCATATCAGAACTTCCTCATATGAATCCAGAAAGCAGAACAACAGGTTCTTTACAAGGACAGCAACTGCAAAATCTTCTACAGCTTTCTGGTGAGCCTTAAAAATAGTTCAGTTAAATTCAGGGAGGAAGTCACTTTCCCTGTATTTGCAGAACAAAAGGAAAACCACTGCTGAAAAAGGAAGCTGTCCCTTTCAAGCCCTCTGTCTTTAAACCACCCTTTCCTGGAGAAAAGATGGGAATGTCTGCCTCCTCCCAGAGGCTATATTTCAAAGATTTGTCACTAAAATTTACTTTCAAATTATGAAGGATAATAAGCGTGAAGGCTGTCATGGTGGAATAAGGACATTGAAAGGCTTGGATGTTCTAGGTAAATAATCTTTCCTATGCTTTTTGTTTCATTTAATTAAAATAAATAAGTACATAAAATAGATATGTCAGGGAAGGAATTGCGTAACTTCAACCACAAGAGTGAACAGAAATAAAAGCATCATTAACTGTACTATTTACCTGGTTCCTTCTGGTCTTCAGCTACCACAGATGAAGGTTTTTCTGGTTCCTTTATTTTACTAGATGGAGGTTCAGTGCTTTGGTCAGGTTCTATCACTGCTCCTCTCCAGCTGCAAATACAAGGGATTCTAATTGATACTTTGATAAAACAAGCATTGGATTTCGTATCGAGGATCAAAATAACTATGTTGTCCATTAGATAATTTTTCTGCTCAAAGAAAGTAATTTGCACCAGAGAAATTTTACTGGATTAAGAAATGTGTCTTACAGGCTCTTGGAATTTCATTAAATATCTTGGCAATGGAATTTAATAAAGAACTTCTAAAAAGAATTAAAACACCCGAGAACACTGCATGAGAAGTATTTTGTTATCTACCAGTTCTGAAATGATCATAGGAGCCACTAACACTAAATAGTACCACCCAAATGATGATCATAAAAAAATCATGAATAAGCACAAAGGACTAGCCACTTGCTTTACTACCAAGGGGTTCACAAGCCTTCCCTACCACCACAGGCGCATAAATGAGTTTTTACAGGTTTTTATTAAGAATCTCCTGAAGGAGAAGTCTTTCAGAATGGACTTCAAGTCAAGCCAAGTTCATATCAAGATCCAACAATCTCAATCATGCTGTTTAATATATAGATATGTTGCCTCTGAGTTCATGATATGCCTCCTAAGGGAACCAGGCTTACAGGACCTTTAAAGTTTATGTTGTTTACAGTCAGCTTACCTTACGACTTACATAAATCCCATCATTTCATTTCTTACTTACATTCTTTAAATTTGTAACTAGTCTTCACTATGCTTTTATTGTTCTCTTAAGTTCTCCTGTTACCACCCATTTAAGTCTATGAGTTATAGCATCAGCACAGGAATAAAACACTTCAAGTCATTCTGAGAGATTTCAGATAATACCAACAGCCAAAATGCTGATGCAGGCACAGTTCTGATGCTATGATCAGCTCAGCTGTGCCGGCGCTGAAAAGGACACAAACATATAAAAAACTCAAGCCTAGGCATTCCAAATCTTAAGCACCTCTGCTGAACTTGTAGTAGTCTTTTCTATATCCAAGTTACATCTCTTCAGTTATTCCCAAATGAAAAGATTTCAATCAGTAATATCTTGGGGAATAACTTAGTATAAATATAATCATAGCAGCATAGACCCTCTGTAAAAGGTATTACTATATCTGCATAAGGGGTCTTTGAACTGTATGGTTAATCTTTTGTAAGAAAGGAGCAAGCATATCTTGTACAGTTATATGCATGCAACTACATACATGTCTATGGCTTCTGCTACTTCAGCTTGGGCTTACTGTGTTTAGTGGCATCATACCCCTAACCAACACTGACACTGGTATGATTTTCCAAGTCTGGTCCAGGACAAAGACACTTGTGACAGTATTATTGTATTGATACTAGTACATTAATATTTACTACAAAACAAATGGTGGAAACCTACAGACACTAAGAATTCTCCTGAGTATTAAGAATCTCTAAGTGCATTAGAAATACAGACAGCCTTGTAGGGCTCCAAATCCTCTGCAGTTCAACGATGCAAACAGTAAAAACAGAAAAGCTGCACAGTGCTCCCCCCTTGCCCCTGCCAAGCTTTTAATTGTGCATTAAATAAATTGGCCTATCAATATCAACAGCTGTCAGGCCAGACCTGAGAACAAATATATGCAAGGAAAGAAATCAACCTCAGACAAAGACAACAAAAAGCCCGTACAATTTTCACTCCAACATCCAATGGATCTTGGCAGGGGCAAGGGGGGAGCACTGTGACTTGACGGAATCATTTCTACCTGATAACAGATTTCTCCGTTTTCTCTTCTTTATCAGCCTGGATGGGCTCTTCTACAACAATGCTGGTATCATGTCGGGTCTTCAGCCTCCCATCCCTCCATGGTGGCTTGATCTGAAGATTGGAAGGACCACGCCGAATATGAGGCAGTTTTGGTGGCTTCTGAGAAAATAAAGAAAAAAACAAAACAAAACAAAACCATGTTTGGTATGTTGCAGAGACGGTAAAATTTCAAACCATAAATCAACAGCATTCCAATGTTAAACATAAACTTCAGAGAAATCTTATTTTGATATTGTATCAGCATGCAAGTTCTGCCCTGAATAGACGGTATGCTAAAGAATTTGGGATTTTTGTTTGTTTTAAACTTTTGGTAAAATTATCCAGTTCTTAACTTTACACTGACAAATTAGACTACCTCTGCTGCTACCAGATATAAACACAAAGCACTGCCAAAGGATTGTAAAGATATTTGATTCCATTTTACTAGGCACAGTAAATTTTTATTAGAATTAGCAAAAAGCATGCAAAAAAAAGATTACACAATGCCAGTGTTAGATAATACCAAGAATTACCATACAGTAATACATGTACATTTGTGCACAATGAGGGAATGATTTAATACAAAATTTTCATATTGATTAACTGGAAATCCCAAAATTCATGGGGTAAATACATGAAGACCAACACAGTAACCAGTATTCCTCTACTCCACTAATCCACACAGTCAGTTCAAGTTTCTTTCCTGTCGCATCCCCCACAAATGTAACCCTCCAAAAGCTACTAACACCTGTTCTGTTTGCTGCTATTTTTCCAGCTACTAGAAAAGCTATTCCAATTCAGTGTGACACTGACTGTATCCTATGTCTCACATTCAGCCATGACTCTATTTAGGCTCCTCATAACAGCAAGACTGACATCCAGAGCACTCCAAGTCCAAACAAATTAATCACAGCAGGAAAGTGAAGCCTCACGTAAGAGGTCACTGTGACCTGAAGTCTTGGCACTCCTAGGTATATTGGTGGTTAAGAAATAGTACACTGAACATTTAAATAACAGTACCTGCGATGAAAGCTCTGAGTAGTCGCCAAGGTTGGCATCTGCTTTCTGGGGTGCTGGTAGAACAGCTGGATTTGCCAGCTTTAATCCAGGAATTTCAGGTTCTGTTCTCTGATCATCCAATGATTTGTTTGTTAGACCTAGACACACAAAACTACTCAGCACAAGGAATCAACAGTTTAGGTTCCAGCTAGAAATTTGTAACAGTTTGCTGCATTCACATACTAGATGCACCTCCAAAAAGTGTTTCCATTCACAAAACATTGATAAACACACACTAATTGTTAGATACAAAGTGTCTTTTGGAATTAACACTCTCCATAATGTACAAGGAGGCTCCTAAAAGACACATGCTTTTTTTAATTGCTATTATTTTAGCTTCTCAATACAGGCAGTAAGATAATATCAAAGGTAAATGTGCCTTCGTATTGTAGAAAAGCTTGGAATTTCTAATCTGATGGAAAATCAAAACCAAGAGAGGATTATCTTATCCTACTGTTTAGGTTTGGGTTACCAATATCTACATACGAACATAATAAAAAAACCCCACAGCCTCCAAATCTCAATCAACTAAACCAAAATGTTGCTCTAGTCAAGATATACAATGAAAAGGCATATAAAAGTATTTCCGATGAAGCAGAAACAAGTCATTGAAACATGTCACATAAAATCATCTCATAACTGCGCTTTAATGGATACACCCAGTCATTGTCAATAAGAATTAAAACTAGTTCTAAGAACTATAACAATCTCTGAAATATAACATCACATTCCGGTATTCTGAGCTATACAGAGCACATACTTTTCCACGGTTCCCCCATGCTTGCGTATGAAATGACTCCACAGACTGCCAAGAAGGCAAACAGGAAGAGAATTACACTCCGCTGTAGTCGAGACAGCTGCTTCCATTTCTTTAGGAGAGAAAATAAGTAAGAGGAAGAATATTTAGCATGCCATTAAGAGCCTACTCAGTCAAAAATAAACTCTTATCAGTTCATTCAGAGCAAGAAATGCAGAATTGACTAGGTTTAATGTTACCCTCTGTTTCCAACTGCAGACACCTATTGGTTATTTTCCTTGATGACAGAAAATAAAAATATAATACACTAGCATATGCCACAGCAGGCTCAGAGAAACATCAGAGCCACTTGCTGCAAGAACCTCAGAGACTGCCAAGTGCCAAGATTCCAAGAGAGCATCACCTACAGTGCACTGACTTTCATCAGAGCCTTCACTGGCTGACCTGTGCATCTGGCCAGGTATCAACTGGGGAATAAGCCAAAACCCTCTTTCCTCCCTTCTGGATGGGGAGGTACTGCAGAACATACATGCAAAATAAGAAACAGAAGAAAGTGGTAGGAAAACTAAAAATGTTACTGCAGCAAAGAAGAAAGGCTCAAAATAAGCTAAGTACCAGTCACTGGACAAGAAAAGCCAGGCACCCTACCTCTGACAAACATACATGGAACTGTCACACAGAACAGGTCCTGGCACCACAAATAAAGTCACCAACCCACAGCAACATGAAAATGAAGTAAACCAACAGAACAATGAACAAGACAAAACCATAGCGTTTTCGAGTTTAGTCCTGGGCAAAAATGTGGTTTTAAGACTGAAGTATATACAACAAAATCACTAAAAGTCAGACAGCAAATGCTACATCAGCCTGAGAAAGAAGTTTCCTCCATTTAGAGAGAGAGAGCAGTTGGAGTTAAACATTAACTGCTAAACTACCATTTTGTTAGTTTTCCAACAGTCCTACCAAAATTCACCAGAGCAGCACTTTGCTTCTAATTACTGGTTTTAGCGTACAGAGAGGGCGCTTCAGTGCCAATGCTACACTTGAGAACAACCTGCAGTTTCCTACAAACCACTCTACACCCCACCCATAGTCCTCATCCTCTTAATAACAACCTGAGGCTGCAAATGTTTCAGTGAAGAACTGTCAATGTGCTCACACTGCCAAGCCCCACAGCACGCATTTGCTGTTTTCCTCCCACACTGCTGACAGTACGGTAATCCTCTACACCCTTCCCTACGCACACAAGATGCTGATCCCACTCCTTCACCTTTGGCTCTACCTGCACGGCCAACCATCAATCTCACAGCCAACCAATCATCTCCCAGTTGCAGAAGGATGCTTGAAACACAGCAGCCCTGTGTTTCCTCAGGGTAGGACAGGAAAAGAGACTATGATGTCCTGGGATGGGTAGGAAGGAGGCACAAAAATACATGAGGGCATTCACCACCATCTTACTTTTTTTTGCTGACAAAGAATAAGGATAAATGGAAGGGTGAAACATCTTGTGCCCTATCCCCACGTTTCCCTAGCTGTTAATAAGAGAGAAGCTGCCATACTGTGTCCCTAAACGAGTTCTTCATATGCTTCATCTGACCACCTGTAAAGCCTCTATAGGTGGCTATACCTCATCTCCTATCTGCAACAAAGGTTATCTTGTCCCTTTGACTCACACTTTCCCACCCTGTCTCTCCAGCCCAAGACTCACACCTCTGGTAAAGCTGCCTGCCCACTTCCTACCCCCAAGCAGACAAGAAGCTCACTTCCACACAGCTCTTCTGGAGACACCTCTTCTCACACTCAGCCTTCCCACAGAAAGCTGAACCACTCCCTTTACTCTCCTATAGCAAAAGACAGGGCTCTCCCTTCAAGCCCTAAAATACAGGGCAAATACACGACAACCAAATCTAACCCCCCCTCCACTCCTGCCCAGAGAGTGCACCATTGCCCCCCAGATACCCACTAGCAGAAGGCAGGATTCCCCTCAAATGCACAGCGTATCCCCCTGCCCCAGCTTTGTTCACAAAAATTAAGATATGACTTAGAGCACCCTCAATCAGCCTGCACTCCACAAATCCCTACCAGGTGGGGACCTCCCACCCAAACACTGCTCTTCTCAGACCCCCAGCCTGGGGCCACCCCTCCCCAAAGCCCAGGGCATCCCCATCTTCAAGTGCCCACAGCTTGGAATGGAGGGTCCCAAGCCAGGTCCCCAGGCCAGGACCCCCAACACACAGTCCAGCTGCATCCAAGCCCAGGGACACCGCTCATTGCCCACTCCCTACCGCCCGTCCCTTCCCAGCCCAGCGGGGCTCCCTCATTGCTAGGTGCCCCCTACACCCAGCTCGGGGGTACCC